TCCCTCCTTCCCTGGGGTGGCATGGCTGGTCACAGAAGGGTTAGCACATTTTGCAGAGTCTAATAACAAAGTGCTGCGTTCCTGTTCCTCATATTCTCACCCTCATTGCCATTCAGGTGCCCCCAGTGCTCACCTCTGGCTTCACCAGGGTAGCTCTGGATTGCTTGAGCATCTTGTTTCTGTCTTGCACACACAGCTGGAGGGCTGTGGAAGGTTTGTTGGTGCTGAGCTGTGATCCCTGTGGGGCACAAGATGTTGTGGGGCAGATGGAAACATCTTTTGCACTAATTCCCTGCAAAATCCAGGGTGTATTTCTTTGCCAGAAACAGCTTCTTAGGGGTGGGGAATACATGCATTTGTTCTTCCTAAATAGTTCACACCTGATACTTGGTAAGCTTAGCTCTGTCCAGGTGGCATGAAGCAGGCAGCTGGGGGCACAGGGTGGCACCTAGAGTGTCTCTAAAGTTTATCAGTGGGTAAAAACTATAAGGAAATCCAAGGGAAGAAGAGGTTGCTGGGTTTTGCTTGTTCTGCAGTGGCCCTGAGATGGTCCAGCTGTACTGGGTAGGCCATCTAAGTTGTTTTACCCCTGAAGTGCCTGAAGTGTAAGGCTGCTGTGGTGCTAAGTGATTTTCACAGCATTGTTTCCCCAGCCTGATGCTCCTCCTGCATCTCTTAGCAAGGAAAGGGAGTCTCAGCCAGGTCTGCTGCCTTGCCTGGGAGTAGAGAAAACATTGGTAGATCTCTGCTTTGTGTTGGCTCATAAAAGCTTTCACAACCTATCCTTTGGAGATGTTTGGGGTTTTGGAGACCCAAGGATGAACCAGAGCCAGCCTGGGGAAAATTGAGACACCTGGATCATCCTTGTGTGCGTGGGCAGAGTTCAGCATGGCACTGGGAGCTGCTGGAAGCCTGGAGCCTGTCCTGGGGCTTGGAGAAAAGTGTGTTGAGGTGTGCACACCTGGGAACTCCAGTCTCTGCTCCCTACCTGTTTTCTGGGAGACTGTAAGCCAGCTCGTTGTCCTGAAATTAGCCATAATTAGCTGACTGAGTTCTCGTTGATGGTGTGTTACTGAGGTGTGTGCATTTGAGGTGGGTTTGACTGGAGCTGGGTGTGCAGGCTTCCTGAGGAGGGCTGCCCTGGCCAGTGGGGAGCAGTTCTGAGCTCCTCCTCCTGGGACTCTCCCTGGCTGAGTCCCTGACACCCTCTAGTGGAAATATTTATATTTAGTATTTCAGGAGCTTTCAAAAGGTGGTGGTGGTTGTGAGCACCCTGTGCTCAGCAGCCCATCCAGCACCCTCTGCAGTGACCTGTGGCCTGGCGACTCATAGGAAATGCTGTATTCCCTGCTCTTAAGTGTTGTAAGTACAAGCTCAAAGCTGTCAGCTGTGACTTGGTGAGGGATGACAGCACAGTGAATTTGCTGCCAGGAATTGCTTTTCAGTCACTCCTCTCCTTGTCCAGCTGCTTGCTGCCAAACCTAACCTTGATGCTGGAGAGAAGGGAGTTCTACTGACACTTGCAGAGAGTCGTGACAGCTACAGGGATGGACTTGTGTTTGGGAACAAGGAGGAAGCAAAGCTGGATGCTGGGGGAAGTGCAGGGAAGGCTGCCTGGATGGCACATTGAGAGGAGAAGAGAGGAGAAACAGGCAGGAGCTGGGTGAGAAAGAAAGAGCAAAAGGATGTGTCCTGCAGCATCCCACTTGGCTCTGATTCAGGTGTGGATCTGCTCCCTTTGATACAGGAGGTGACTCTCATCTAAGCTTGTCCTTGCTTTCTAGTGGAGCTCAGCTTGCAGAGTGTCCCCAGAAGCCCTGGTGCTTCCTGTGGCAGGTGGCTGCAGGATGAGTGTGGGTGGCTGGCAGCTCCCAGGTGAGCTCTGTGCTGAGACTCACTCGTGTCCTGATTTGCAAAATGATGTCTGTGCCACCTGAGCAGGGTGATTGGCTTGGGAGGAGCTTCTCTTCCAAGAAGGCACATCCTGCATGCTCTGTCCTGCCCTGGTGAGCACCTTCCTGGTGTTCCCTTTTTTCTCTGTGACTTGCTGCCCTAGTCTGCTCCAGCCTGATGGGCTAAGCCTTGCCTGTAGCTCTCTAGTCACATGGAGGCACAGAATGGGTGAGATTGGTAGGGACCACTGAAGGTTACCTAGTACAATCTCCCTGCCTGAGCATCGTGCCCCAAAGCACATTACTCAGGATTGTGTTCAGAAGGCTTTTGAGTGTCTTCAGAGAAGGAGCCTGCACAGCCTCTCTGGGCAGCCTGTTTCAGTGCTCTTGTCATCCTCACAGAAATGAAGTGTTTCCTCATGTTTCTCTCCTCCTACTGCTCAGCACCACCTTGACACTTGCATCCATTGATGAGGTCCCCTCTCAGTTACCCCTTGTTGGTGCAGGCCAGTGGGGTCTGTCCCTTGGGAATTGCATTTTCTCTTCTCCTGCCATCTTCCCCCCTCACTGAACGCAGCACCGAGGCACATCTTACAGTGTAAATAAAACAGCTGTTTGTACATCACTGGCCAAGAATGAGAGTGATGGTGTGAAGCACAGAGCCTCTCCCCTGTCCCAGCCACCTCAGGGCTCTGGCTTGTTCCTCCCTGATCATCTGATCCTTGGAAAACTGGGCTTTCATTTATCAAACAAGTGTCAAGTCCTCCTGGTTAGGAAGGTGGCAGTGACTGAATATCTGTCCCTGCCATGCTGACATAAGACAACAGCCTGAAGGCTGTGTGTGACCCAAAAGGTCTTACCAGTTCCTCTAACCAGGAGGATCTTGGTTGGCTTTTTTAAGTAAAGTAGCAGGAGGAATGCAGCACAATGTGTCAGGTGTTACCACAGTTAAATTACAGCGTTAACCACACGCTGACACCTCCTGACTTTTCTCCAGGAGTGCACTTTGCAAAAACTTGCCTATGTGGGATAAAGGATGCTAACCCTCCAGCTGGGTTATGACCTGGAAATCATGGTTCCAGCTGGAAAAATGATGTCTGTGCTAGCCTCCAAGCTGGACAGGGAATGGTGTGGCAAGTGCTTAGCTGAGACCCAGCCTTCAGACAGGCTTCCCATTGTATTACTGCTGGGAAGTAGGCAGCTCCACGTCTGGCAGGCCAAGTGCCTGTCCCCTCTTGGAGCATGACCTGGCTTGTCCTGCAAAGCCAGACAGGCTCCTGGGGTCAGCAGCTCCCTGTGCTTACCCAGAGAGCAGCTGTGCTGCTGAGCAGGGCTGGGGGGCACACAGGGAACTGGTGGGGTACGCAGGGCTCTCAGACCAGGGGAGAGAGGACAGGCACATTTCCTTCACAGGTCCCTGCTTTCACCCCTTGAGCTGTTGCACAGAGGCTCTGCGTTCAAAGCATCTCCTCAGGAAAGCCACTCCAGCAAGATGATGATGAGGCTTAATTTATTTAAATAACATAGGAGAAGTTGTAAGAGCCCATGGCTGGAGGGCAAAGAGAAAGGAGCTGTGCGTGTGTGAAAATTAGTCAGTAAGGTTTGAAATGAGAAGTTTAAAGCTTGTGCAGTGAACTGGCAAGGTTCGTTGTTGCTGTCACCACTGTTTGGGAGGCAGGGATAAGGGGAAAGGTGAAGGAAGAAGGGTCCTGGCCAGAAAGTATTGCCAGTGAGCAGGGAATGGTGGTTCCAGTGAGAGAGATGAGGGGAAGGGAGGGAGTAGAAGACGTGGTGGTGACAGGGACAGAGACAATGACCTGCCATGTGAGCAGCCTACAAGGTACTGTTCATGGCAGGCAGTGACTTGGGTGGTGAACGTGTAGTAAAAGGAAATGTTCCCATCAGGACTGGATGTGGGAAGATTTCCCTCTCATTTACTCCCAGCTTGTTCCTTTTTTTCTTTGCCCTCTTCTGATTTTGACTTTTCTGCCATAAATAATCCCAGTGGTTGTCTTCACTGCAGCTCATTGCTCTCTGTAACAGTGCCTGAATGAAACAGATGCAGCTTCTGGCAGCTCAGCTAATTTTGTCAAACCATCCAGAGCTGTCAATGAAACCAAACTGAGATATGTTAATTATATTCCACTGGTATGTGGCAAAACCGTGGGCATTAGCAGGCTCACTAACACTGCCTTGCCTGCAGAGCTGGGGAGAAGGTTTACATTCTTCTTTCCACATGATGTTCCTTGAGACAGCAAAGTCTAGAAAGGCTTCTTTATTAAAAAGTCTCATCTTCTGGTGGTAAAGCCTCTCTCTAAATCTAAGCAAGGTCGGAGGGCTGCAGTTTTTGGTTTTCATCCTGATTTTAGCAGCTATACTTCCTTTCCTCTAGTTAATCAAGTGGAAAAGTAGCCAGCAGTTTTACTACCGAGTGCCTTGAGGTGGCTGTGTCCTGGGAGTGAGCTCTGGTCAGGATGCAATTGTATTGCTGCCCTTAGAGGAGCCAGTTTCCTCTGAATGCAGAAGCCACTTCCTTCGGCCTGAGGGGGTCATTAAAAGAGGAAACAATATAAACTATGGAGAAGGGAATTGGATCTCCTGACTTTTTTATAAGGGAAGATTAAAGGAACTGAGTATGTTTGGCTTGGTCCCACCAGTGACTGAGGAGGGGTGAAGACCATGCCAGGGCTGAGGAGTGGCTGAAGGATGTGGGCAAGAGGGGGGTCACAGAATGTGCTGGGGGGGCATATGATGGAGGAGAGGCTCCTTGTGACAAAAAGCCTTGATGGGAAATGGATGCAATAAACTGTGCTGCTCTGCAGTGTGGTGGAAAACCTTGTTCAGTTGCTGGGGCCCGCTGAGCAGGAATTTAAGCACCGCACTTGGAGTTTGTGCTGCAGGTCATGGTCTTTCCCAGCCAAGGACTTTGGGGACAATTCTCTTCTTCCTAGGGGCTAAATGTGAGTTAACACAGCCTAGCTAATTCTTAATGTTTAATTGCAACTGTGAAAAGAAACTTCTCCCCCAGCTCTCCTAAGGTGTTTGGCCTTTGCCCTGAGCATTTTGGTGTTGCTAACTCTGGGCTGTTTGTGTCCTGCTCTGCTGCAGTGATCCCGGACTCGCTGCGGGTGACAGCGATCCCGCAGACGCTGAACAAGGTGGAGCACGACTCCCTGGAGCTGAAGTGCGAGGTGTCCAAGAGCACAGCCCAGCACAGCCACGTCTCCATCGCGTGGTACCGGCAGCGCGGCAGCGAGGCGCCCGTCGAGATCATCTCCCTCAGCCGCGACTTCGTGCTGCGGGCCGGCAGCGCCTACGCCCAGCGACAGGCCACGGGGGACGTGCGCTTGGACAAAGTTGGGGAGACCACCTCCAAGCTCACCATCTACAACCTGCACCCCTCAGACCAGGGCGAGTTTTACTGCGAGGCAGCGGAGTGGATCCAGGACCCGGACGATTCTTGGTACGCCATGACCCGCAAGCGCTCCCAGGGCGCCATCGTCAACGTGCAAGCCACCGGTCAGTGTCTCCTCTGCCTCTTCTCCCTGGGCTGGGCAGTGGGAGGAGATGGAAAATGGGGCTGTGCTGTGTTAGGTGGCTGGGGTTTGGCTCCCTGCTTTGCCACGTGCCCCACGTGGGGGGCTGCTGGCAGGGTGAAACAGGGCAAAGGAGGGCCCAGGCACTGCCTGCAGCCAAGGGAAGTGCCAGCAAAGGGCAGCAAGGGAGCTTGGGTGACACCTGTCTCCTGATGTGGTCAGGGATCTGGGGCTGGCACAGAAGCTAAAACATACTTCTTAAGCACTTGGTGCTGGCACAGACAGTGAGGATTTTGGTAAGTTAGGAGGTAAGAGTGATACAGCAGGGAATAAAACTAAAAATTTCAGCAAGTGCTTTTGTATCTCACAAGGTCCATTTACAAGTCAAAATTCTTCTCCTAGCCCCCAGCACAGGTTCCTGCTAAGGATCTAAAGACCCTGGTTGAGCTCTTTGTTCCTCTGGGATATCCCCAAAAGTTCTGCCTTTTGACTCTGGCTGAGCAGGATGGAAGTATGACTCCAGGTCATATTCCACAGTGGTACTGGATGCTCCAAAGCTACTACCTGGAGGACAGGGATGTGACTGAGGAAGCCTTTGCTTGCTCTTTGCTTGATGGGCAAGAAGATGCCTCTCTGGCAGCACAGCCCATCTGGTCTCCCACAGCAAAAACAAGTCCTTAACCTTTTTACCTCTGAATGTGCTTGTCTGAGGGTTATTGGCTATGCAGGGAGTAGCAAGTTGTGAACACCTGACATGAGGTGTGCTGGCTGTCCTGGTGGGCTTTGCCATCCTGACACGAGTCTCTCTCCCCAGACAAGGAGTTCAGCGTGCGGCTGGAGACGGAGAAGCGGATGTACATCGTGGGCGAGCCGGTGGAGTTCCGCTGCATCCTGGAGGCGCAGAACATCCCCGACCGCTACTTCTCCATCTCCTGGGCCTTCAACAGCTCCCTCATCGCCAGCCTGGGGCCCAACGCCGTGCCGGTGCTTAACAACGAGTTTGCTCAGCGCGAGGCCCTGGGCCAGCTCAAGGTGGCCAAAGAAAGTGACAATGTTTTCGTGCTGAAGATCTACCGGCTGCGCCTGGAGGACAGCGGCAAGTACAACTGCCGCGTGACCGAGCGGGAGAAGACCGTGACGGGAGACTTCATCGACAAGGAGAGCAAGAGGCCAAAGAACATCCCCATCACTGTCATGCCACTCAGTAAGTAGGGGCGTGCCCATCCCCTCCTGAGGGCATTGCTGTACTGGGCAGGTAGCTGGGAAAGATGTGATGTGCCCAGACCACAGCAGTACAGGAGAGGGAGGATGAGAGTTCACATGCTGTTCGGGCTTGGAATCCCTACTGGCAAGATGTATTTCTGTTGTTGGGAAGGGGATGAAAAGGAGGGGTGTGTGTCAGGTTCATAGGTGGGGAGTCATGTTCCCACCTTGTAATGACACCAAGCTGGCAGTTCCGTTCTTGAGCTGAAGGTACACGTGACAGCCTCTGACTTGCTCCTCACGTCCGCTCCTGGCCTTGCTCTGCGGGGAGCTGGGTGCTCTGTAAAGTACTCAGCAGGCATAGTGGGGAGACCAGCTTGGCCTTGCTTTATCCTAGGAGCCGCCAGGTTCCTGCAGGCTGTTATGTGATGGTGATTCAGCTGTCTTGCAAGACAGCTGTACTGGAAGAAACCAGGTGTGCTCCTTGAGCCGCAGTGCTCTTCAGCATGGAGCTCCATCCTGGTCACTGTGTGTCAGCCAGCTCTGGTGAAAACAACTGGAGGCTTGCCTTGAATGTCTTTTATATGTGTGAGATAAACATGGTGAATACAGAAGTAACAGGTTGAGAGGAGAGATTCCACTGACTCATTCCTTGTTTTGCTCTCTGAAACTCTGGTGGCCATGGCATGGTGAACCTTGCGTGGGTTTCCCAGGCTACCAGTGAAGTGGCAGTGGGCTTGGAACAAGCAGAGGGTAGCTGCAAGAGGATTTTGTGCTTTACTGGCCTCCTGTCTCTGAGATTTGTAGGGAAATGCAGCCCTTTCCTCTAGCTTTTTTTTTCCCCTCCTCATTTCTCAAAAAAAAATTCTATTTCTTTTCTGTCCTACCAATATTTGGTCTCATTTGTTTGGCTTTTAAAATCAGTCTAGCTAGAAATCTTGCACTGGACAAATTTCCAAAATGTATTGTTTCTAGACCCAGCCGCCTTTCAGATTTGATTCTTGCCTTTGATAAATCACCAGCTGTAGGAACAAACGTGATGATTTTTTTAAGGGTGCTAAGTGTCCATAACTGTGATGGAAGGCAGCAGGAGTAACCAGCACTCAGTATCTCTGAAAAACCCAGCCACAAAGCCTTACACCTCTGGGAAGCTCAAGATACCAGATTTTTTGTTGAACATTACCAAACAGTGATAGCTACCTATAAGTGGGAGTTTTGGGAGAGCTTCTCCCAAAAGTTGTTGGTAGGAATGGATGTGGCAAGATGGTGGTCAGGATGACGTGAATTGAAAAAGCCACAGGGCACTGGAAGCTTTTTTTTTTTGGCAGAGCCAGTTGGCACGCAGTGCATATTGTAGCAACAGAAATTCCCTCAAGTTTTGCCGAGATCCCATCCCGGACCTGTGACCAGAAGACACGGCAATGTCTCCTGAGCCCTAGGCAGAGATTTCTCCCAGCTTTGGCCTACACCTGCCTTGAGTGTGCAAGTCACCAGGAGCAGCTCGCTGCCCACCAGCTGTTTTTGGATGTGGTCACGCGTGAGGTTAAGACGTGCCTGGACCCAAACGCGTGGGCAGTCTCCTGCACCTGGTGGAAAGCGTCTCTGGCCAGCAGCGTCCTTCTTGCAGCCCGAGCAGTGGCGAGTGTGTATCATCTCCCCTGTGTGTGTGCGTTTCTCTCCTTAGAGACCAGCATCTCCTTGGAGATAATCAACAACGCCACCAATGTCTTGGAGGGAGAGAGCCTGCGCTTTGGCTGCAACGTGCGCTCGGGCTTGGGGCCCCAGAGCCGCCTGTCGGTCGCCTGGCAGCTGGTGGACAAGCTGAACCGGCGCAGCGAAATCGTGCGTCTGGACCGGGAGGGCACCCTGCACCCCGGCCCCGCCTACGCGGAGCGCAGCAGCTACGGGGGCATCCAGGTGGAGCAGGTGCGGCCCGGCTCCTTCACCCTGGAGATCTTCAACAGCATCAAGGCGGACGAGGGCCACTATGAGTGCCGGGTGGCCGAGTGGACGCGGACGCTGGATGGGGAGTGGCAGATGGTTGGGGAGCGGCACACGAGCACCCCGGTGTCCATCACTGCTCTGGGTGAGTACTTGAGGCGTGGGGGGCCCTGGGGCCATGGTCCCCCATGCGCCTGGCCGTCCCCCAGGAGGTCACCTGCAGATCACTGAGCGTTCTCAGCGCTCCCGCCTGTGCTTGCCAGCAAAATGGAGGCACCCAGCAGCCTGCCCGCAGCTCCTCGTAGGTTGGTGCAAAACGCCTGCATGCGTCCTTGCGTGTGGGGGCAAAGTCTGAGGGGCGGCTGTGGCAGGAGCAGAGCAGGGAATGGCTGAGGAGATGGATAGGGCTTCCAGTGTCCTTCAGAGGAGAGAGGCTGCCAGTGCCATGATGTGTCCTGCCAGTACTGGAGCTGAGTCTTGGTCAGTGCAGTGGTGGTGCTCCAATGGCAGCCCATGGACATTGAAGCCTCCTTGCCTGCCCTGGGTAAAACTTACCACACCAGATCAGGAGTGCAGAATGCTGGGCATCTGTTGGCCCAAAAAGCAGAAATGATGAGCATCTCTTGGCAGAAAGTGTGAGTCAGGAATGGACCTTGCTGTTTCTGCAGGGAGGCACTGAGCTGCTGGCCCAGAACCACCATGTTGTCATGACCAAAGTAAACCAGTACCTGGGATCACTGCAGCTGGTACTCTGCTCTGCCAAGGGGCTCCTCTGTTCCAACACAGTGAAACCACATCAGTTTAGGAGAGGGCAGGTAGGGAGTTTGACACCGTGCATGGATTGTGAGTTACTTGGGTCCCCTTGGGCTGGTTCCAAAAGGGATCTGCAGAAGGCTGAAGAAGGGATGACTGCTTCTGTGAGGCCACTGATTTTCAGAATGCCAAGGCTAGGACAGTCAGGGAGCTCTATTGAAAGGTTGAGATGGGAATTTTGGCAGGAGGGTGGGGATTGTGTGGCTCTTACTGGTACTCTGAAGTATTAATCTTAAGCTTTGACAAGATGTGTGTGAGACCAGACTTCAAAGTCATATTGTATTCTGATGAAAATCTTGCTTTTTTCCTCCTTTCCTCTCCTTTACTCTTGACCTCCTTTCAGAGGCTGTTTTGTCTGGAGTTAGAAATCTTTTCTGTATAGCTTCCAAAAGCAGGTAGGGATGTTCTTTTGAAAAGAACTAAAGCAAGATTCTCATCTAATTTCAATGGTGTCTTCCTCATGAGGTCAGCAGCATTTGTCCTGCTACAAGTCCCAAGTGTCAGCCCTTCCCTTTACTCTGCCATTTGTAAAAGTCTTGAGATTGAGCACTAAGATTTTAAAATGTGTCACTTCTACTCTTGTTAAAATTTAAGCTGCTCAGAAGTGCACAGCAGTTCCAGAAGATGTGATGGAAAGGTTGTTTCACCTCCTCTGCTCCTCAGTCACTGGCTGTTGAGCATATTCTGCCTAGGCTTAAGAAATTCCTAGGTCTCTTTAACTAGCAAAGCTGAAGTACCTCATAAAAATATAGTAGAGAAACTATTGAGTATTGTTTTGCTGCTGAATCTGGTTGTTTTGGTTTTTTTCTTCAGCTTCATGTTTTTGAAATGTCCTGAGAAACTCAAATTCAGGGTACTAAGAAAAAAGCAAAAGAGGTTTATGGCTTCAGAAACTGCTGTTCTAAAAACAATGCAGTAAATTTAGTGACACTCACATTTCAAGTTAAGGTCTCATTTTTTGCCAGCCTGCTGGGGTAGGAAACTCTTTAACTGATGATGTTCAAGCCCACAAATCTAACCACAGGGTGGCTCAGAAGCAGCAGCCAGAAGAGAGAGATGTGCTGGCAGAAGAGACCAGATGTTCCTGAACTTCTGAGGCTCTTGAGTGCGTGGCACAGACTTAAGTCCCGGTCTGGCCACAGAAGGAGGGGTTGAGGGAGTGGTGTATTTTTGTAGGGCGGTTTTACAGAAAATCAATCCACTTTTATGCTGTTTGTACCAAGTCCCAAAAGAAGAAGGGCTTTTGTTTGTTAATTTAAGTGCCATGACCACGTTGATGGAGTTGAAGACCTGAGAAACACGCCTGGCTTCTGCATGACTTCATGAAGCTTCCTTGCCCAGGCCAACTGGAGAGTAAACTTGATGAAGTCACCTGGTGTTGGTGAAATTAAGTTGGCTTTCCAGGGCCTTCTCTGGCTCAGGGTTTCTCTGAGCTGGGCCTGCTAACACACTTACTGGGGCCAGAGGGCTGCTGTGGGGTCTGAAGGTGAGGGCTTGTGTGGGGCTGAGATGCAACAGCTCTGCAGGGGAGGCAGCCTGGGTCTCACACTGCCCTCCTGGGTAATCACTGAACATGCTGTGAGAGGCTTTAATCCTGAAGATTGACCTGTTTTCTCAGTATTTACACGTCCTGGAGCTCTGGCACGGTGACGCCGTGGGGTTGCAGAGGCATTTGCTGGAAGTGAGCAGATTTGGTGGGCTTCATGCTGTGCCTGGTCTGCCTGCAGCAGCAGGGAGCTCCTGGCTCATCTTTTCGAGCCAGTGGCACGCTGAAGCTCCATGCTGATCCAGAAGATGTTCCTTTTTTGACTGTGCACTGTCTGGGGTCTCCTCAAGCAGTGGCAGCTCTGCTGAGAGCTGGGGTGGTCAGCACTGCAGGGAGAGGGGGAACTGTCAGCCCATGCAGGACGCCCCATGGAGCCTCTGAGGAGGGGAGCGCTTCTTGGGGACATTGGCAGAAGAAAATGAGGTCCCTGCTGAGTCTGCTGGCCACACTGAAGTGATTGGAAGAGAAGAAAATGTTTCTCTCTGCAGCTTGGTTCAAATGAGCAGTGGAAATACTTTGCCTGAATATGTATGCCTGACTGGCTAACTGGAAAATGTTACTTTTTAATTACTAATAGACTGCTAATTTCAACTCCTCTAAACAAACAGAGTGCTGGGGGTAAACAAGTCAAAGTGTATTGACCAGCTTGCAGAGTGGCAGACACGTGAGAATAACTGCATAAAGCTGTCCTGGAGTTGTGATCTGGAAGAGAGCAAAAGCTGTGCTGTGTGAAGAACAGGAGCAACCAGCTTTTCTTTCAGTTTGCCTCTATCCTGGGGTTTTGTAACCATTGCCACCTCTACAATGCATGTTTTGAAGGCTGCTACATCTTGCTTTCCTCATTCTTCCTCCAGCTGCAGCAGCCAGATGCAGACCTGGGTTGGGGGACAGGGTGGGACCCCCTGCCCAAGAGGTGGATGTGAATCACAGGGGGCTGCTGCTGAGTAGCTGTTCTGCCAGGTGCTCTCCTTTGCCATTGTGCTGCTGCATTTCCATACAGGGTTTTGGCAGCCTGCAGAGGCTGTGTCTCAGGGGAGCTCACTCCTCTGGGCAGAAATCGAGGGCAATCCTGCTGTGGCTGCAGCCCGTGCTCACTCAGGCCGTCACTGCTGCTCAGGCCATCACCACTTAGGTGTTTTTGCCTCTGCTTTTCACCTCACTTGGCCATAGCAAAGGAGAAGCTGACACAGCTCGAGTGGCTGATCACACCAGTGGATGACCACGCTGGCTTTTGCATGCTGACAGCAGGGCCCCCTCGGGCAGGTGTGTCTCAAAGCCCTCTCCTCTCTTCCCACAGAGGCCGGATTTGCCGTCACCGCCATCTCCCGCACCCCGGGCGTGACCTACAACGAGTCCTTCGACCTGCAGTGCATCATCAAGCCCCACTACCCGTCCTGGGTGCCGGTGTCGGTGACGTGGCGCTTCCAGCCGGCAGGCAGCACCGAGTTCCACGACCTGGTCACCTTCACGCGCGATGGCGGGGTCCAGTGGGGCGACAGGGCCGCGGCCTTCCGCACGCGCACCGCCATCGAGAAGGCCGAGTCCAGCAACAACGTGCGCCTGAGCATCAGCAGGGCCAGCGACACCGAGGCCGGCAAGTACCAGTGCGTGGCCGAGCTCTGGAGGAAGAACTACAACAGCAGCTGGACCAGGCTGGCGGACAGGACCTCCAACCTGCTGGAAATCAGGGTCCTGCGGCCAGGTGAGCGCCAAGGGGGCGTGGAGGGGGCTGGGGGATGGGGTATTCTCCGAGTCTCTGTGGTCAGGATGACCCCGAGATGTGTTAGAGAGTCTCTTTTCCCAGCCCAGCAGCTGGAGAAATCAGGATTCTTCTGTTCTGATTTTCAAGGTTGTTTATTTGCTGTTATCTCTAACATTCTTTCTCCGACCCACCGAGATCTGTCTGGCAGGTCGGGTTGAGGCACACTGGCCGCTCTCAGAGGTGGTGTTAACTTTTTATACTAAAAACTACATGTGCATTATTTACAATAATTTTCCAATACCTATCACCTATGTTAGACAGTGAGTTTCTACCTTAAACCAATCCAAAAGTGCCACCATCACCCTGTAGATGGAGGCTAAGAAGAATAAGGACGAGGCAAGCCCAAATCCCTCCATTTTGGCCTCTGAACCCCCATTCTAAAAACTCAAAATTCTACTTTTTCTATCTTGTAACAAGCTATCATTCTACTTAAACTTTTGTGGATTGTGAATCCTCATATAAGGTTGGTAATTGTTTTCTCCAATGGCTAAAATCGAAGGCACAGGTGGTTTTGACTCCATGCCAAGGTCTCCGAGCCCCCTCACAGGGGCTCAAGTCCTCCAGAGCAGCCAAAGGAATTTCCTGGGTTCTAACAGGGTATGTGCTGGTGCTGCAGGGATCTCCTGTTGTATTTGTGGGGTGCCCCGTGGCAGGAAGGAATGATGAATCTGCCTCCATGTTCTTAGAAGACTAATTTATTATTTTTTGATACTCATTATATTAAAGAATAGTATACTAAACTGTACTAAAGAATACAGAAAGGATACTTACAGAAGGCTAACAAGATAATAATGAAAAAGTCGTGACTCTTTCCAGAGCCCTGACACAGCTTGACCCTGACTGGGCATTGAGTCAAAACAATTCACATGAAACCAATGAAACAACCACCTGTTGATAATCAATCTCCAAACACATTCCACATGTGAGCACAACACAGGAGAAGCAAATGAGATAAGAATTTGTTTTCCTTTTTCTCTGAGGCTTCTCAGCTTCCCAGGAGCAAATCCTGGGCCAAGGGATTTTTCAGAAAGCAAATATGACTGCCACAGTCTCCCCTGAGTTAGACCTGCTCTTCTGGCAGTGAGTGATGTTTCTCACTTGTAGCTGGCTCAGCTCTTTTAATCAATCATAGTTGTGATTATGTTGGAGCTCCTGTATCGATCTCCGGGGAAGTGGATCCTCTCTTTGCCTCTTGTATGCTGTTCCTGGGGTTTTCTTCTGGGAAGTGAGGTGCCTGAGCTCAGTCCAGTGTCTGGAGTGTTCCTGTGAGGCAGAGGTGGTTTTCAGATTGCCAACTCCATTTATCAGGGCAGACTTGGAAAAGAGAGGAGAAGAATGGGGCAAACAGGATCAAAGAGAGAGATGTGTTCCCATAGGTGGGGTGCTGCAGCTCTGCTCTAATAACTGGGTGCATCTCTCATTCTGCTGGAGGCACCTTCAAAAACAGATGGTGATCAAAGAGCCTAATATTCATCCTCACCAGAAACTGACCCCCTTTTGGTTGAAAGCCTCCATGGCCATGGGTGCCCACACAGAGTGTGCAGCAGATAAGCAACAGGCACTGATGTGGCAGGGGCAGTCAGAAAACCTACAAGGTGCTGTCCCTGTACAGCCACTGGAGTGAGTGAGGGGCCTTCTGTAGGCCTTGTCACTGATATTTTGGTGGTGTCCCTATTGTGCATGAAAGGTGCAAACATATGTGGGTGGCCATGATAGCTGTGGGTTGTTGCTGAGCTGAATGGTGTATTGCTGTCTTGACCTTAGGGATGGAACTGGTGTTTGGAGTGAGGCTTTTAACACCTTCAAGGCTGTTGGCTCAGGTCCTTGCTGCCTTGTGAGTTCTCCTTTTGTGTTCCTGTGCTGAAAGACTCCTTCCTAGGGTCTCTGCTGGTTGGGCTTTATGTTTTTCCCATCAGTATCCCTCTTCATAATCCCTCCACCTTCCCCAACTCTGTCTTTAGACAACTCAGGGGATGCTATGAGCTCGAGCCACCTCATGAGCCCTCCGTCATTTTTCTTCCCTCTCTCTACCTTGCCCTCATCTCCAGGTTAATCTTCTCCATTTATCTTGATTATGCTGCCTTGTAATACATGTTTTACTGCTTGCAAGGTCGAGTTGGTGATGTTCATCATTTTAGCTTACTTCCTTAGGAAGCACTGTTGAATGGATGTGGTCCCTGGAGTAACATGCTTCTTCACAGCCCCATGCATGCATATCTGTGTGTGAGACAGAGAGGGAAAGAGAAATCCTTGATAACAGCTTCAGGAAGAGCCTGTGTGTCACAGCTCAGGGTGGCAGGCGGCTCAGTTAAACCATGCTCTGGCTGCCTGTTGTTCTTTACTGGAGCAGTAACACTCAAGTGATGCCTTAACAGAAGAAGTTGTCCAGGTCTCCATGGTTTTCACCTCTCCCTGTCTCCCAGCTGCTCAGCAAATGACTGCAAAATAAATCTTAGCTGTCAGTTCAGTGAGCCTTGCATACTGTTTGAGGCTTTGTGGCTCACAAGTGGGGATGGAAGAGAAGAGGGACTCTTTAGAGCTCTCCCAGCACCATGGCTGCACCCTCTGTGTGTTTTGTTACCGTGTCCCAGGCAGCCTCTGGGAATGAATGAAATGACTGAATGAAATGTTGGCAGTCAGACCAGGGGCTGCTCTGGTTCTCTCTGGTTTTGCAGGTGGCAGAAGGTTGTACTGTGTCTTTCCTGGGTCTTTGGCTTGCTGATCTCCAGAGAGGATCCAGGATGACATGGGAGACACCTTCCCCAGACACTTCTGAATGAATGTCCTAGAGCCCTCCCAGTCAAACCTGTGCTGATGAAGTGGGTGCTGGTTTTTAGATAAATATCCAAGGCTTCTCCAAAAAGGGTCATTCAGTACCCCAGAATTATTAAACAGCTAAGAGTGCTGCCTACTTCTGTTCCACTACAGTCCCCTTAATCTGAAATAACTTCAGGCTGCTCTTTGGTGTCTCAGTCCTAGCCTTTCCTTTGCCATTAGCCATGGCTGCCTGCCTTGACCCATATGCTTGGGGTGACCTATCTCCACTAAGGGACACCATAAGGAAGGCTTGTCTGGAGGTCTTTTGGCAAATGGAGCTGGCATGTGTTTCTAGACTGTAAGTTAATGTGGGGATTCTAGTTCCCTCTCAAACCCCTGCTCCCTGTTTGAGTGACCTTTCTATTTGATAGGTTCCAGGTGCAGACATGGAAATCAGTATACATCAGCCTTTGAAGTGTGTTGAGGAGAGAAAGGTAAATTAGTGGTGGCCTTCTTGCTTTGTGAAATCCAAGAAGAAATGAGCAGTATTTTGAGACATAAAACATGTAGGGGCTGAAGGAGGGAGCAAGGAAGGCAGGCAATGGCAGCATTAACCCAACTCTGAGCACAAAGTCTGTAGGCACAATTGCACAAATCTCCTGTGTGGCATCTGAGCCAGATTTGGCTTTTGAGAGTGATGTTCCTGATCCCTTGGGATCTTTTTGTTCTAAAGACTGGCAGTGTGAGGAAATTCCCTATAAAGGGTGCTGGCTGTGTGTGTGAAAGGTTATAGAGAATTTAGTTATCATGTGAGTTCACCAGCAGTAGCCCTGGGATCCAAAGCTCCCTTTCCTGGCCTGCTGCTCGGTGTCATGCAAGCCTGCACACCTTGGGTTGAGAGTTCATGTGTGCTTTACAGGGACAGAGACCTGCACTGCTTTAGGGCCACTGCTGAGTTTTAACTTCTGTAAGCTGAGGCAGAATTCCAGGCTGGTGTGGGGGGCTGTTAGACATGGAGACCACACTGGCTAGATACCCTGTGGCTGTTTCATTTCCCTACAATGCAGTGCTCTCCTTTTTACTTCCGTCTCTCAAGATGCCTGTTGTTTCTTTCTTGGTGAGCTCTTCTTGCAGCAGAAGGGGAAGAATAATAAAAGTACATCTCCGTTCACACCAGCTGCTTTCCTGAAACCAAAGCTGTCAGGAGACCATGCACAGTAGTGCAGTGTGAACTAGAAGTGAGCCCCGAGTGCAGGAGTAGAGATTTCTTTTGTGTTTGGGGCTCCCTTTCTGCTGTGGTATCTGGTCTGCCTCTGAAAACCTGAGTCTGTCATCCCCAAGGCCCTCATCCCTTTCCCCTGAGGGTTCACCACCATTTTCCCATCTAGAGACATTGCTTTGCCCTTTGCCTTGCCCCTTTCCAGGTTGAGAAGAGCATCCAGCATGCAAGGCTTAGTGGACTGATACTTGAGAGATCCATCAGGATTAGCTGTGTCCTGTCCTTGGAGAGGACATGTGTGGTGGCTCCCTGGCACTTACAGTTTCCTTGGGTTTTAGGGGAAACAGAGGTACCTTTTAGGGGAAGCAGGGGGTTCCTGTTGAATCCAAGTGGCCCTGGAAACATTTGGATTCAGGCTGAGCTCTCAGTGCTCACTGAGATGCCAGCTGACCTCACTGTTCCCTGCCCCTGTTCTTGCACAGCACAGAGGGGACACAGCACTTGGGCTCTGGGTCCTGCCTGAGGGAGGAAAGTGGTAGATAGCTTCAGACAGGTCAAGGGGAAGACACAAGGGCTGTCAGGCAGGCTCTGTTCCCATCTCCTCCTTGGATCTTGCTTCCCCCTGCCAGGTGTCCAGGGATGAGACAGCAGGCACTGTCTGGGAGCAGTGCGTGTCCATGTGGTCTGCAGGACTCAGACAAGGGCAGCAGACAGTGCACAACAGGGGCTGTGCTGCAATCTGGGCAGGCTTGGGTGTCTGCAGAGTGCTCTCTCTTTTGGCAAGGAGGCTTGGGGCAGATTTGTGCTGGTGTATTAAATTGGCGTTGTCATTTTGTGTGTTACTGCACTTATCATTCCTCTGCAGCACAAATGAGGGGGTGATTCAGCAAAGTCCTGGGGTCTGAGTGCTGGAGACTGTGTCTGGCAACATCAGAATAAGAAAGCAGGGCTTTCACACAACACC